TTCCTGGAGATGTAATGACTTGGACTGTCACAGTTAGTCTGTCAGCTCTAGTTTGTAAGTTGGACCCTTGAATTTTGTTTCTGTCAATGAAACGTTTTTACCGTTCCACTGTTTGAGAGCCTCTGATCAGTTGATATACCTGTGCGCGTGGCAATGGCAGGGTGCTGTTTCGTGAGTAAACCGCACGAGTGCTAAAAAGTGTTCAAGGTAACCCCTACTACACCTGTCCACATTTGTATTTTCTTTCGTCCGTCAGTTGTGCTTTCGAGAGAGGCGTAGAAAGGCCACAACCAGAAAATTTTAATCGTTTTGTCCCGCCTCGACGAATTATTCCGTTGGAGAGTTTATATCCGGGGAGTTAGCTATCTGGCCACGGCGAGTCATATATGGCGCGGCGTATGAATATCCTGCTGAGGATGTAAACAGTCTATAGGGAGCCCTTTTGGTACAATGTGTCGTTAGGGTGAAGCAGGATGACAGCGGGATTGGATTGCTTTGAACTTGGTTTCCAACGAGAGGAAATCTTAGTTTTCAAAATGTTGTGCTCCGCCACCCCCCAGGAAGAACAGTTCGTGGAAATCTGATGGGGATACCTGCAAAAAGAATACGGGATTGATGAATACATTACATGAATGATTACATTAGTGATCCGTTTCGCTTATTTGTGTTACACAGAATGTAAATGTTCGCTGTAATTAGAAACCAGTGTTTCAACAGACCAGAAATTCGCCTCCACGATGAAGGGGCTTTTGGAAAGGCTTGCTTGAAGATAAAGGGAAAGATTGTCTCGAACATGAAGGTAGCCATTTGTATGAAAATGAGTTTCATGATCTTATTTATCCTTTCATACATTTACAATTATTAGTTTATTCATCATTGCTGGCTTGTTCTTCAAATTGCCTGCTTAGACCAAAAGAGAATTTCGCCTATATAAATTTGTGTTTAGAAAGGTTTTCATGGATGATTAAGTGCTTTATATGTTTTTCTCTTTTGTGTAGATATGGTTTTGTCAATATGCAAAATATTCAAAACCTTAAATATAAAAACTTTCTTCTGTACAGAATAATGAAGCCAGACATTGTAAAGCAATTTCTCAATGCGTTCTTACAATAACAAACTGTGCATGTATTACATTAGACTATCCGATTTGAGCACAACTTTCGCCCCCTCGTCAAACAAAAAAAAATGGATTAATTGAACTTTGCCCGACGGAGATCGACGTGTACGTCTAATTTGAAAAGATTCAATCAAAATGATTTCACCAAGAGTGTAGCTGATTTTGCAAAAAAATCTGAATGTGAAGAGGTGGCAATTATGCGTCAAAGTCGTCTCGTCGTGAAAACAGTGGCGTAACTACGGGGGGGGGGCACGTGCCCGACAGTGGATGCCCGCGCCCCCTATAAACCTCTGTTGGGTTTATAGAGCTATGCACCTGCAGCTTCCTTCCAAAAAAATGCTTGCATACGCGCGTGAAAATGGTGACGATATCTGGCTGCGGCTAGATAAACTCGACGCGGCCAGATAGTAAATCGCCGTAGCCAGATAAATAGTCGCTGCAGCCAGATAGAACTTGGGAAGCATTTGTGTTTGGTTGTGGTTCTTCTGTGCTTCCGTATGTTTTGATCTTACCACACCAAAGCATTTGGGGTTGAGGCCACACCATTATGGCTTTGGGATCATTTTAGCGATCCTCTCGTCAGTAATTAGCGTGGGACAATTTCTGATTACCACCCATTGTTGGGTTTATTTAAATACATGGAAATCATTGTGATATAAAAGAATCGAATTCCCCCCTCCCTCTCTAATGAGGAATTGTGTCTAACGTCTGTGACCGCGTGTAGTCGCCAGGTTATATCTCCACCAATGGGCTCCGAGCTGGACCAAGAGTGATGAGCACACGGAAGCTCCTTTGGCACTAACTGCGCATCGCTGGTTCACGATAAAACATGAAATGCAAGCGTTGCATTGTTACCAACAACATGAACGTTCTCGACCCGTTATGGCTCTTTAAAGCCGATGGGGGGGTGTTCTTTTCACGGCGGATTGTCAAGTCTGATTGGTTTTCACGGTAAGTGGCAAAATAAGGGACCTTGCGACTATCCGGTCACCGATCGTGTAAGCCTACTTCATAAACTTGAAAACATAAGATTTTTTCCCAGGTGTGTGTGTACCAATGAGCTATCTTCACAAACGTACAGTAAATCAATTGGCCCTCATGATGGTCTGAATAACTGAGCATTTTGGGGTACAAAACCATGCCCGCGGCAACACATTTTTCTAAGGGGGTGCTAAGGTTGTAAAATCATAAATATCTAGGGTTTTTCGGTGGATCTCTGACATTGGTGAGTTTGATTAGGTTTGTAGCTTGACGTGGTCAAAGTTGGGGGGGGGTGCTATTTTGTACACCAGCTATCCGGTCCAAAAAAGTTAGGGGTACTTCAGCACCCACGGCATCCCCCGTTCCCGCGGGCTTGCACGATACAGAATAGAAGGAATAATGTGGTTGCCTTCTGCAGAAGAACAAACCTACTCAATGTCCGATTTCATCAGTTAATATTTTTGCTTCCAAGCCTAAATGAAATCTGCATGCGTGGCATGGATCCTGCCGATGCAATCTTGTTTGAACAGCCAGCGTTGAGTTCTTCTGTTGAAAGCATATTTACACACCTGTTTGTAAAGGGCGTTTACATATCGCTTGAGTTTCCGTTGATTAGCAGCATGCCTGCATGCGGCAGGCAAAGGCCGAATTACTCCCGGCTTTTTTGTTTGCTGCGCTATTTCCACTGCCCGCATTCCTTGGAGTGGATACTTGCTCTAACCGATTCAAACTGTTTTGCCAGACGGCAAATTTCCCCCAAATGGTTAAATTTGTTCAATATTAGACAGAGCACTGAGCGAACCATCATTAGTATTGTGGCAGCGTAATAGCCCTCATTTCATTCATGTAGCATGACATAATTCTGATCAAATCGTATATTTTCATTTTGATTATGGCAAAAATTAGAGGTGATAATTCCAACACATTAGTTTGGTTTGTAAATTAATATCCGGGACATGGGATGCAAGGTAAGGATAGTTTGTTTTCGATCGAGTTTGTATTATCTCAAGTAGGAATTCTGTCTGTCTATACGGGGCATTTTCATGCTCCAGTTCATAGATTCTTCGCTACCACTGATTAATCTACAAGAGTCCATCTTGGAAATGCGATATATGTCCCAAACATTCCTGATTTCAAGGCTTCTTTGGTTTCGTGAAGATCATTACTTTGCTCGATAGTGTAACGGAAAACAAATGGTTAAAACGGCGAATCGGAGTGCGTGTCCCAATGTTAATAAAGCACAGATCGACGGGGATCCAATCGGTAAGACTATAGAGTTAGCTACAAAGGAAAAACAGGACGGAACATTGAACTTTGGCAATACACCTGTAGTCTAATCACTGCTGGAATCGCCCGGCCTGGCATTTGGACGTGTTGCTCGTTCAATCAACGCAAAGTGGCGGCCTTGTTTATTTCCACGATTCACTCGGAGGAAAATGCGGCGCTGGAACGCAGTCGTACACGGTTTGGCGTAAACATTTAGTCATGTGTATACCCGACGGCATTCAACATGGCCCGTAAATGAATCCCTTTTAGCTGATGTTGATACAGCCTCCCTCTGCAACATGGAGATTCATGAGGGAAATCAACAGTATTTGAAACCGATGCCAAAAGCTACTGTTGTATGGTGTGTGTGCGCCTGTGGAGATGAAACCTGTGGCACACCAAGACGTGATGGGGCTCAGTTAATGGTCAGGAGTCTCGGCATCCTGGCAGCGCAGTTACGGGCGTATTTTTGACTGTGGCATGAATATGCATGTAAAAAAAAATGACACTCACGCTTTTTGTCAGTGAGAAGTTCTTCGTAATTGGTCAGTGTGCAGGCAGTTTTTTTCGGAACGAAATTTAATATCTTGTTCCTTGAAAGTCGCTAGGGTCCGCAGATCGACATTTTTTTTGATGCCACTGCCATTTCGCTGTCACGTCGAACATTTTTGAGTCCTCGAGTGCTGTTTTGTGGCATGGTTTCACTCCACTGTTAGAACAGATGGACGAGGCTAGCCGATAATGTCAATTTCTTTTCCTACGTCGGGTGCCGAAAATCTCCGTCGCTTTTTTTTTCGCGAGCTTACCCAACAGTTGCTAATTAATAGAGAGAAGTAAAAGATAACGATCGGATGATCAGAACTCTTCCTCTGATAGGGCAGGAATTTTGAGCAGTGTTTTGGACATTGATTTTGCTCGAATGACATACGCCACGGTTCAATAAAAGTTGCTCCACTGTTGGGATCTGTTTATCTGAAGAGATCAAATCGATCCCGACTGCAAAAATGGTAAATAAATAAAACCGTCCATTGCCCGTGGTGTACAATACACATCACTCCATTTCATAACTTGTTCCATAGCTATAGGTAGATTCATAACGCAAAACATCGTGTACTTAGGTACATGTCTTATACGTCTATCATCGCAAGTAGTTCAAAATGACAAATCCAAATTCTTGCACTTTGGTCAAAAAGAGTTGGGAGATAAAAGTTTAGTATACCTTGGTATCCAGACCATTATTAGGTGCCTGTCTGAATTATATTATGAAAAACATTATTGACAAATGGGCTCATTTAGTGCTTAATTTTCGTTAGATACTAACTGTACACTGTTGCTATTGAAATATTTCTAATGTAGAATTGACTGGTCAGACTTTCGTAAAACATTAGACATTGGCTTCGGTGTTTATAGTCAGGTGAAGGGGCACAGGGCGGATTCGAAAAACAGTTAATGTGTGTTGGTAAATATGGTTCTAAACGAACCCCATGGGACAATATTTGACGTGGGGAACATCAATATTTATTAACTACTCACTTTGAGGATATTAAAAATGTAAGTTAGAAAAATATATCCAGGGGGTGCATGGGAACCCTATCTTCCTACCAGACGATATACATTATCATTACATAAATCTTACCTGTGTTCTTATTGCTCTGTATATGAACCCGTAAAGGACCAGCATCACACTGAATGGTAGGACAATTACCAGCAGGCAATTAAAAGCCATGTATTTCATGTCTATCACTTGCATGAAAAGGCACTGTGGTTTCTCCGGCTCTCCCTGGTTCCATCCAATCACTGGTAAAAATCCCACGATGCCTGCAAGGATCCAGGAGCCAAGGATGGTGAGGAGAGCCCGCCTTTTGGTGACGATGGAGTGATACTGGAGCGGGTAGGCCACGGCCACGTACCGGTCGACGGTCACTCCGATCAAGCTAAAGGTTGACGTGGCACACAGCCACAGCAAGAAAGTCAGCATGATAAGACAAGCGTGGAAGTTATGAGGGAGACCCTTGGCGGTCAGAAGGGCGAAAGGGACCCCCAGGAGTCCGACCAAGAGGTCTGCTATCGCCAACGAGACGATGAAGTAGTTGGTGACCGTCTGGAGCCGGGTAGAGCGTGCATAGGCGACCAGGACTAAGCTGTTGCCTAACAGGGCCACAACAGAAAAGAATATCTCCGCTGCGAAATACACAGCCGTGACTTCTAGGGTGTCATTTTCCGGGGTCATGGTCGCTTCTGAAGCTAGCTGCACGGAAGCCAAGCGCTTGAATATCTTCGCCCTACACACCACTGAACATTAGAACTTCCTCTTCGAAAGAGAAGTGCTGAATTCGAAAGTCATCAGTCAGTTCTTCCTTGTACCGCTGTGCTGAAGAACTGGCGGAAATAAAAACCGGTGTAACTCGAGAAACCAAAGGTAGCTCTTGTGGGAACAGAGAACTCTTAAATCACTCTTAAATGTACGAATCCAGATAGAAAACGCAAATTTCACTCTCTTTCAGCCCGAGGGCAGTTTGTTCCTTCCCGGTGATGTACTGCCAGTGGCACGCACAGGTGACAGGTTCAAGCCCTCTGGCCCTTATTATTCAAAGCATGTTGAGGGAATTTTTTTTTTTTTGCTGTCAAAATTTGATTTACGGCCGCGTTATACCACCTTGCGCAACAGAGCCAGTGACGTCAATAATTACGAGACAGTATAAGTCTCGTGGATTATCCTTTGTTGGAGATAGTCTGCAAGAATCATTTTAGAGGACCTGACGAGTCTCAGCCAATGAATTAATACTTATGAGTACTTTTTCTCTCTAGTGTCTAATGCACAGGGCGACTATGTTACTAACAATGTTCGCATTCATCTCACGATGGTGTTCCACTTACCGCCTACCACCAAATCCAGCGTCAGATCCATTTGAAAACAATGAAAAGTTACCATGCATGACAAAATGATGAAACAACGTCACAGTTCACAGCCGATAAGGAAGTCAGAATGGCACGCGGAAAACTGTTTGGATGTTTTTTCTTGACAATTTTCGATATCAGGCTATGGAGGTCTTCGTGCCTTACAGTGCAGTGGTACAATGCATTCCCAGGGTTAGACAGCCTGAAGGGGTATATGAGCTGTGTGAGAACGAGAGCGGAGGACTGACGGCGGAGCTCGAAGACAGTGTTCACCAGCGGAAAATAAACCCACCTGTTAAAGGCATGGGAGACCGCAAGCAGTAATTGGTGGACGCACGCCACTGGTACCCAGCGTTCGTCTGTCAACGGAATATTGACCTTGATTTGTCACCCGTTGAGATGTCGTGACCACACGGGTGTCTGTCTTCGGGACTTGGCCCTTGAGTCGTGTATACCGTTCTCTCACTCTGCGTGGGATAATTTGTTGTGTTAGTGGTGCGTTGATGTAATACCTAAGTCACGTGAGGATGATTTAGGAATAGTCTTCTAAGCACGATTCATGTTAGGATTGTGACATTACACTTTTTCACACATTTAACCCACGACATACAATCCCAAGTGCACTTCAAGGTAAATAATCTAAACGTCGGTAAAAGTTTTGAAAACGTTGGTACAGAAATGAGATTAAACCCTGGAAGCGTCTTTCTGTACAGTGTAGGCCTACTGATGTCAATCTCCCGTATTGTCTTGATATGTTATTTCGCCAGGAGGATCTACAGGTTGGGCCTTTAATAGTTAAGGTGACTACATGAAGAAGATGAAGAAGTCTGTCTATTTAATGTCATATCAAAGGGAACTAAGTAACGTTTACAGATTGAATGATGCATGATTGCCGTAAACTTCCTGATTTAAATTTGGTAGTTCACTGATTTGAAACGATGTTCTGAGAGGAAAACCTACTATCCTCAGAAACTTCCACTGTATAGGCCTATGCATCATCATTAGGCTTATTATTAGAGAGTTTCGGCAGAAACCCGGCCTCAGTGAACGTGAAGTCGAGATTTCGCTGCTGACGTCATCAATTCATGCGCAACAGTTTCTTGTTGTGACGATCACGGACACGTTTAGACGTGAAGAGCAGTCGTTTCACGTACGTATTGTGTTTATGTCGTTTTAACATTTCTCCAGCATTTGTGTAAAAACATCAACCAACAGAGATTTGGCTGAAAGTTTAAGTGTTGTGGGTTGTTCGCATGGGGAAAAGAGAGAGAGTAAAAGTACAGAAATCCGAGTCACGCTTGATCACTCTCCCACAAGCGTACTGATCGCCGAAAAAAGTAGAGCACACCTCGTACAAGAACGTATACGTGTCACATTACGGGGACGGGCGCACGCGCGACTTCTGCCAAAACTCTCTATTATCAATAATTACCAAACGTTCGTCATGCTCCTCTTGAGCCTCAGGCGCCAATCCATCCACACATCCACAGTAATTTTCACTGATTAAACCCGGAGCATGTTAGTGTTTTCCATTTACACATTACCATGGGCTTAATCAGTTATTTATCATGACAAGGTGTACCCCGGTGTTTTTCTTTTAATTGCGCGCTATGTAATTATTTGCTCGGATGTTCAGACACGGAGTAAGCAGCAAGGGGATTATTAGATCGCTCAAGACGGGGCAGGAGGCATTGTTTGACATGGTTAATTGATTATCGTCGATCGTTAATGAAAATCGACTCGGTATCACAATGACCAGGGTCAATTTAACGCACTACCACGTGCCCAGTGTGTTACGATCCGAAAAACTCCAAACTGATTAGTCTCAAGCCTCAAATTTCTCCGATGCAACAAAGAACAAGATCACACTGATACAAGGAACAAATAAACAATTATAATTAAATGAGAATAATACACTTAGCCAGTCAAAAATAAGGACAGCGAAGAAAATGCTGACTGGAACTAGTTTACAATGATAAGGATAAAGAATCAAGAAAATAAACCAGAGGGTGTAACGGGCGAGAGCTTGGCAGGCACTAAAGTGAAGAGTGCTGGACTCCACGGATGGCGGCAACAGTTCAGTCCTTGACGGTGCAAAAAGTGAGCTGCAATAGGGACGAAGACCTCGTCGAATAAGAATGACTGGGCTCGGGACCAAACGACGAGGGCGTGATGACCGTCGCAAATACGGGAACTTGATGATGCCGTAAGCTGGAACTGGATTCAGTTCACAAATTGTCTCTTCTGGAACCAAATTCCGAGCTCTGCGCTTCACTCCGTTTGGACTAACTTTTCTTACAAGTGTCGCTTCACAGACGACTCGCCACCCCAGGCTGAAATGGAGCAGAAGTCAACAAGTCGAAGACCTCTCACAGCCTGCGTATGGTAGAATTGCCCCCCAAAATCTCTCTTGGTGTGTGTCTCTCTCTTTGTTCTTGTCTGCCAGAGCCCGTTTTTTATTCTTCTTGAAATTTCTTAGTTTCTACAAAGTTCTTAACATTATGTAAGTTTCTTAAATAGACCTTTAATCATTACATAATCTTACAGGAAATCTCCAGAATGTACAACTAGAATATTCCGAACTATAGTGAGGTCACTCACCCGTGGCCCGGTGTGGCGGTCTTAGCTGTATCCCGGTCTCAGCGGTCCCCCTTGCCGAATATGGTAAAAATACGTCATGCCATCTCTGCGCACAAAGGGAAAGTCGTCCATTTAAGTGGCGTGCTGAGCAGTGCATGCATGCTTCACGTTGTACGTGACGTGAACTGTACATACATGTAGGCGCAGGCCCACGCCAAAGATAATGGCACCGCTTATAGTACCGCGCAAGTTAGTCATGCAGACATCTCAGCACGGAAGACCAACGAGACCGTGCTTGTGTCGTGCTGAAATGTCCGGCTTCGTCAGGGGGGACCGCTGAGACCGGGAGACAGCTAAGACCGCCATACTGGGTCAACCAAAGATCACACACAGAGCCTCGTATGTTACTATTACATCATCTGTTACGTGTAGGGAGACTGTGTGTATAAAAGTGTAAAAGCTTGGTTGTCAATCCGCCCCGAGCTGAAGTGCACCCTCAATCGGCGAAAGTAGACAGGTGGATACAAGCAGGTTCTTGCTCGCGTTCTGCGTGTACGCAAAGACCATAATTATATAAATTTGCATGCTGCAATAAATATAGTTAAGCGTATACTCAGCGTGCTCCGCGTCAAACGCGCATTTACTTGCGACCCTGATGGCGCGCCTATGCAATAAGTACCAAAACCAACCCAACCTAACCCAACCAAAACCAAACCCATTTGTACTTACCTGCAACTGGGGACCACCTAATGTTCCTCTTTTGTTTGTATTTTAACTTTTTTAGAAGACCACCCATATGTTTTGTACACAGTTGTCAATCGGGGAC